GGAGAACTTCATAATACAGAAGTCGATCATATCGACGAAATACCCCCAGATTTCACTCATCCTAACGAAAATTCAGACATTTCAGAAGAACCCTGTGATGACACTTATTACCCAGAACAAAACACCGAATACCCGGAACAGTCAAATTTTCAAATGGGCCCTCCAATAAACGAACAAACTTAAATCCACAAATAATTTCGTTCAATAATTCAAATACAAGCGAACTACCGTATATAGTCTTTCCCGAAAATAATTTAAAATTCTGATCGATACCGGCTCTACGAAATCATTCATCGACCTAGACATTGCCTATAAATTGTATCCAAATTTGATTCAAGATGATCCTTTTATAGTTTCAACCGTATTCCAAAAATCTGCGCACGAGCATAGTGCCCAAGTTCCTATTTCAAAATCATTCAGAGTAAATGGATGTTCAAAGTTTCATTTGTTCAAATTTCATAATGTCTTTCAAGGTCTACTAGGATTAGATAATTTGAAACTACTTCAAGCTAATTTAGATTTCGATTAAAATATTCTTTTTACTCCTCGTGCAAGAATTGAATTACGGTATCACCAAACAAAAAGTGAATTAAATTTGATATCTGTTGCTCCTAGAACAAAACAAGTGATTAAGATAAGAACTATTGTTGAACACGGCGAGATAATAATTCCTCATCAAAAACTGCATAACTGCGAAATTCCACAATGCCTTACAGTAGCTAGAAACGGAGAAGCTTTGACGACAATTCTAAATAACACAACGAAACAAATCGCACTTGATTTCTCGGAACCCATCATGGTAGACAAATTTGACAAAAAAGACTTGCAGGAATTTCAGTTGTATAACTTTGACGACTATGACGATACTGAAAAACCGAAACTAGACATATCCAAAATTCGTACAGACCATCTGAATATCGAAGAAAAATCCATGATTGAAAATCTGTGCAAAGAATATTCTGACATATTTTATTACGAAAATACACCTTTAACATTCACCCACAAAATTAAACATGACATCAGAACTAGTGACGAAATCCCCATTTATACGAAAACATACAGGTACCCTTGCGTTCATAAGAAAGAGGTTGAACGACAAATTCAAAGCATGTTGGATCAAAAAATCATTCGGCCCAGTAATTCTCCCTGGTCGTCCCCGATTTGGGTCGTTCCAAAGAAAATTGACGCCTCGGGCAAGCAAAAGTGGCGTGTAGTTGTTGACTACCGCAAACTTAACCAAAAGACAATCGATGACAAATATCCTTTACCCAACATCACTGATCTGTCAGATAAGTAAGGCAGATGTCAGTACTTCACAACTCTAGATCTCGCGAGTGGTTTCCACCAAATCGAGATGAGTGAAAATGACATACCTAAGACCGCATTCAATACAGAAAATGGTCACTATGAATATTTGCGAATGCCATTTGGTTTAAAAAATGCCCCTGCCACTTTTCAGAGAATAGTAGATAATATTCTACGAGGTATTCAGAATGAAAAGTGTCTGCTTTTGGGTGTATGATAAATTGACATTCATCATACAGGGCGTGGAAAGAAATTCTGAATTGAGACTCTGTCACGAATCTGCGATTAGAAGTCTATAAAAATCACAAGTTTTCATCGTTCAAGTTTGAACCCCCTGATTGGGTATGAAAGTGTTGAAAAGGAATATTCTCAGATAAATTATGAACATACAAAAATGGATATATATTTATATAAAGCAATACATTGAGAATTCGCATTCTCTATGTGATAAGAATATTTACTCTTTCTCAGTTGATTCAATAGAAAACAACTACTTTCCTGGCTATATGCCACGACGAACATTGAATTATATCTATTGAATATTCAGAATGATGTGTGCATATACATATTTTTATCTGAAGGAGAATGCAAATTCTCCATTTCAGAAGTTTTTTTTTTATATTTTATTTTCAAACTCTCATCGTGTGTGTTCTCATATATTCTCATCACATAGAGAATGCGAATTCTCAATGTATTGCTTAATTTAAATATATATCCATTTTTGTATATTCATAATTCATCTGAGAATATTCCTTTTCAACAGAAAAGTGTCTGGTCTATTTAGACGATATTATTATTTTTTCCACCTCACTCCAAGAGTATATCGAAAGACTTAAAAGTGTCTTCCAACGTCTGAGAGGTGCAAATTTCAAAATTCAGCTCGACAAATCCGAGTTTTTACGCGAGGAGGTCGCCTACTTGGGCCATGTAGTGACTCCAGAAGGTGTAAAACCTAATCCAAATAAAATAATAGCCATCAAAAATTACCCTATACTGAAAACGACCAAGCAAATCAAAGGTTTCCTTGGCTTACTTGGTTATTATCGGAGATTTATAAAAAATTTCGCGAAATTAACAAAACCCCTGACCAAATGTTTGAAAAAAGGCGCAAGTATAGTTCATGATGACGAATTCACCTCTTGCTTCGAGACATGCAAAAATTAACTGATCAACGAACCCATACTACAATACCCTGACCTGATCAAACCATTTTTACTCACGACAGATGCAAGTAACGTAGCGATCGGCGCTGTTCCATCTCAAGGTACGATAGGACAAGATTCACCAGTGGCGTACGCTTCTCGTACCATAAACGACTCGGAAAGGAATTATAGCACAATAGAAAAAGAGCTATTGGCTATTGTTTGGGCAACTGAGTACTTTAGACACTATCTTTTCGGCAGAAAATTCACTATAGTTTCGGACCACAAACCTTTAGAATGGCTCTCCAATATGAAAGAACCAAACTCAAAATTATTACGTTGGAAAGTCAAGTAAGAAGAATATGACTATCCAATTCAATACAAAAAAGGAAAGATGAATACGAACGCAGACGCTCTTTCTTGCATTGAACTACACACGAAGGAAACAGGACTCCAGGACCTTTTGCGAAACGTAGAAGACTTCAATAAAACTTTAGAAACGAGGACAGTAAACGACAATCTCTCGACACAAGTACAACCCGACGAAGAGACTCCTACTTTAGAAACTGACGACCCTGAAAATCAAAGACCAGAAGATGACAACGCAACGATACATACAAACGCGGAAGAAAACCCTATAACCGATATCCAAATTTCTGCCTCTCCAGTAAATTACAGACAAAATCAGGTGATCATAGATTCAGTTTTACACTCACCAGCAAAACCGAGAATAACCATCCTATTCAAAAAGAAACAAAGAATCACGGCCCAAATTTCACAAAACAATTTCGATCAAGATGTCATTGACTTTGTTGAAGACGTTATTGCTCCAAATGTTCAGTATTACTTATACTTCAAGAAACCCGACATGTACCAAACTTTTTGAAAAGTGATTAGAAAAAAATTCAAATTGCCATCATTAAAATTCAAAAGATGTATTTCCAAATTAGTCGACGTCACAACAAAATCGGACATTCCAGAAATCATCAAATCTTATCACGAAAGTAACAACCATCGAGGAATAGATGAAACCGAACAACGAATCAAAAAACTGTATTATTGACCAAATCTGAAAAATTCTGTGCAAACCTACATCAATGATTGCGAAATTTGTCAACAAGAAGAATATGAAAGGAACCCTATGAAAATGCAGATGAATATCACCCCTACTGCATCTAAACCTTTCGAAATCATTCATCTAGACACATTCACATTCGAACAAAACAAGTTTTTAACCATAATTGATGGTTTTTCAAAATACGCACAATCATACCTACTGACTTCATTGGCTTCTACGCAAATTGTTAACCATTTGATCTCGTTTTTCTCACATCACGGTGTACCAAATCTTATTATACTCGATAATGGCACAGAGTTCAAGAATTCAGTTATCACGGAACTATTGAACTTACATAAAATCAAAATTCACTTTTGTTCTCCTAACCATCCACAATCGAATGGTCAAATAGAGCGGTTTCACTCAACTCTTATAGAACATATCAGACTACTTAATACAAGAGGATTTTTGAGAACGCCCACTTCGATGAAAATGACATTTATGCTATCATGGCTTACAATCATTCCATTCATTCTGTTACAAAACTCAAACCAATTGACGTTGTCAATGGTCACATTAATAACGACAATCCTTCTGATTTGAATCTAGAAAAAAATCTGGTCAACGATTACATTAACGATCATAAAGAAAAAACGGAATTGCTCTATTCAAAAATAAATGAAAACTTGATAGAGAATAAAACCAAATTAATTTCGAAATTGAACACAAAACGCGATTCTCCCGAACTATTCCAACCAGAAAATACGACTTATATAAAGAAACACATACGTCAGAAAGATTCCAATGAATTTCAGAAACCCGAAATAATAGCTAGTACGAATAAAAATCGAAAAAAAAATAACAACCGCTTCACATGAAAAAATCCACATGGATAATTTGAAGAGACCACTTAGAAAAACCTTCAGTTTTGACTAGTTTGTTCCATTTCAGATTATTGCCATTAGTCATTGGACTTCAAGACAAAGTTACATTCAAAAATCTCGAAAACAATCTGTTACGAGTTTATTTCAATACCTACATGGATTTCATATTATAATAAGTGGGTCTTTATCTGCCCTATGATTCACTTTATTACCCAACATTGTGATGAATATAAATTCTTTCCGTATGTATATGTCAAGGAGGGTTTATTCAGCACTCAACCCGGAGGCATTTCTATTCTTGGGAAGGAGTGGAATGAATATTAGTCAACAAATAAAAAAGTTGTAATCTTATCACTTTTGGTAGTGTTCCTCCCTGGAATGCTTTGGGCTGAAAGTATCTAGTAGGGTCGTCCGCACCTAGTCAGCTACCTCAGCCCTCCATCTTCATTGGAATGAAATTTCTAGGCATTCTCCTGTGAGACCGATTCCCTCTCACCGCAATTCCTGAGGACTGATCCATTTTTTTATTTACCTTTCGATATTTTTCTCTCGATCGGATTCTCGAACTCCGATAGACGTGAAATCTTTCACGGACCGTCAACGGTATGCTACCTTGTAACCAGACCCGTAGCCTTGGCTACCATGCGCGGTACTTACACCGAACTGTACTGACCACTCAGCAAATAGCGTCGACGTCATCTCATCACCGCAACCTGCACCACTCGAGATAGCGGTAATATGATCAAGGTACTAGAGTGGAGGTACTATGGCTCAGATACCCAATGACTTTCGAGCACGACTCAACGGAATACACCAATAGCAGATAGATGGTGCTGTGGAAGCATCCTAGTACTACTAGTACCACCAGCTAGTTAGTGACTTTTCGACGAAGTCAAACTTCCTTTTATTTTTAGGGTATCGATTCTTACACTTACCTGACCTCTTATGACAGTACTGACATCTCCTGACATAACTGACATTTACTGACATAACTGACATAACTGACATCCCCTGACATCACTGACACCTCGAGACAAGGAGCGACATAGCCCCCTTGCCCCTCAGATTATTTTTGAGATTTATGGAAATCTTTGTTGAAGCACGTGCTTCAGGTGAATCGCTTTTGCGGATTCTTTACCAAACAGAAAATACCACCTGGAAAATATCGCTCAAATAATCATTTTGTTGATATTCTTGAGCAGCACAGATCGGATTTTCCAGTGTGATCATCATCCTTGAGGCCTCCCTCCATCCAAGGTAAGGCACCTCTCCTAACCTACACAAGGAATCTTACTTCACTCCCTCATACCATGTTTGCTATTGCTATTGTAGGCCTCCTTCGAGGGATTATTAACCTGCACGAATCCCCGTGCTTCCACCTGCTTATCTGCACCCTTTCTGCATGAGAAACCATAGTACTTATTGCTTGTCGACGCCCCACTCCTCACACAGCGCCAAGCCTCCTGCGACACCAATTTTCCAGGAGCTTCGACGGTTTGATTCACCAGCCTCGATACGAGAACCGCACGAACATCGAGATATACAAGTAAGACCGTTCCATCTCTTATTTGCTGCTGTCTATGCTTCACCGTCTGATGCTTGCCTATTGCTGAATAGATAGAACCTACGCTTGTTGTCTGCCTGGAATTAGAACATAGCCCTATACAGTATATAGCTACATATATCTGAAGAAATATCTACTGCCTGAGTGATTTGCTCTTATAACTGTTAAATTCGCACAGATAACCCTTGGTATTTGAGTGTGAACCGCCAGTATTTATATATATATATACATACGCCCGGGGCCTAACTACTGTCATTGTACCAGTTGGGAATAATATTATTATTTATCGTAGCTCCCCCCCCCATATAACTCTCCTTGGACATTTGATCTTATAATACTATAATTATATATGCATTCATAGTTATCTTTGGAAATTTCACTCACTATCCCTCTCCGCTGAGCTATCAAAAATCAGTATTTACGAAGGAGTAGTAAGAAAAAGTGGTTACAAATTCTGTAACAAATTTGGCGCCCTCTTACGTGGATTATAGAAAATATATTGATGCAACAGGGGTTTAAGTCATAGGGTAGTGGTTTTTTATGAGTTTCATCAATCAGGCAGTGGTTATATTTCGTAGTTCTCAATTACTGATTTGAATCATTATCGTGTTAGATGTGAAAACTTTCAGCAAGCACTATTCAGTCGTGTATTGATAATAGTTCCTGGTGTTTGTTTTTTATTTCCTTTCAATTGTTCTCCAACCTACCATTAGTTATAGGCATAGGACAGAGGAATTATTTTATTATGCTAATTGAGTACAATTATTAGTGATACTTTGGAATGAACAAAAAAAAAAGTATTGCCAATTAATTCGAATATCTGATAAACGGGGTATTACAAAAGTGAGGATATCGATCAATATTTTCACTAATTTGGAGAATTCAATGTACAGTTCATCACAAAAATAATGCTTCTATTATAAATTTATTTTTCGAGGAAAGTAGACAGTATTGATCTTTACAGGGTGGACCAATATTGAGTGGGTTTTTTTTGTATCAATACATCTTTTTATGCAACTCGAGGTTTTGACATTAGTCAACTGAGTGTTGAAAACCACCACAATAATTACCCGGGTGGAGCGCTGTTTTCCTTCCTCCATGTACGCATACTTAGTAACTCGTATGAGGTTGAGTTGATTTTTTTTTCTCAATGTATTACATGGTATAGAAGATTTCATCATTGAGTATTCATGAATACATTACAGAATTGTCATTTTGAAACAACATAAAGTCTGAGTGATATACAGGGTGACAATAAAATTGGGATTGACATATTGATTTTGCTTTCTTTCCTGGGTTATGAAAAATAATAGTAGGGCATAAAAGAATCAATTAATTTTCACAGGAATTCTGACAAGAAAAAAGAGTGTAGGTGAGGTTAGATTTTTCATGTTATTATTTCAATTCCTATGGTTGTTCACTGGTGAACAAAAATATTTTTTTTATTTTTTTTTCTCTCAGATGAGATAGATAAGCTCAGCTTGAAATATAGTTATAAGTTTCCTCTAGACGTCACATACCTGATAGGTGGAAACTTGTTTTTTTGTTGGTGATTCTTTATTAGTATTGTAGATTTAGGATTCGACTTGTATCTCATGGGTACAAGCATAGTTGAAAATAAATATAGTTTTTTCTTGCTGTATTCGTCGAGTGTTGGACAGATGATACAGGGTGATACTTTTTGAAATCAGCAAGGTTGAATTTATTGACGTTGGGTTGATAGATTCAATCAGTTGGTTCTTTTTGTACAGGGTGGTCGCTGTTTTTTTTTTGGATTTTCCAGCTGGTAAGGTGGTATACGCCCGGATTTTTTTTTCTTGTTTTGTTGTTTTTTCTTTTGTGAGGGTCGGGTTCACTGCGTGTGTATAACAATGGAAGTCAATCGTCTTTTGGGGGATGAGCTTACCTACGAGCTGCAAATCAGAGGTTTGCCGATAGGAAATACAGGGAGGCTTTTAGGCTCGAACGCCAAAATTTATCGGTAGCTCCACTTCAGGTAAGGCTTGACCCGAAAAAGAGATGTCTGTTTGTGAAAGGAAGATTTCAGAGTTGGAAAAGGATATTTCGGAGTTTGATTATTCGAATAGGGATAATGAGTTTTCTCGGATTTACACGAGGCTTCTACATGTGTCCCGTCGTCTGCAACGCATCCTTACTACCAACAAGGATCAGGAATGTACTGAAACGGATTCAATACGGTTGTGGTCTCAGGTGATAGGCGATTTAAACTTAGCGTTTGAAGGAATCACTGTTAGTAGTCATTCTGAAAGTCAGTCAACCCTGCCAAATCAGGATTCGCATTCTCTATTGGACGAAGCGATTCCACAAGAGCATGCATCAGCTTCTTTCGTGGAGGAAAATGTTTCGTATGATCTGATTGATTTGACAGAAGAGGGGGAGTGTAGTCACACTAATGTTCGTGATCGGCTCCAAGCCCATCGAGAGGAGTCCACAGGTATGTCCACCGGTCGTCGAACAAGGGTTACGAATTCCAACCAGCCCGGCTCATCCCGACAACCACACGATGACCAAGAACAGTATAGTGCTGGGCCATCTATTCCCTCAGAAAATAGAAATGTGAATCATGTGAGATTCTCGGAGACTCGATCATCACCAGTCAATCGGCCATCATCATCACAAAACCCAAATGCGTATGCTTCTCTGAGACCGAATGACTTGTTCGCAGTTAACTCTCACATTCCTTTGACTTCTCGTTTGAATAATATCCAACTTCAGCCAAACCGAGTGAACGTATACTCTATGGGGGACCATGAGAGCCACCGAGCTCAAGTAGAGCGCTGGGGAGTTTGTTTCAATGGGCGGTCTAGTGTGAATGACTTCATTGAACGGATCGAAGAACTCCGCCTCTCCAGAGGGATGTCTAAAGAGCAGCTCCTTCGATCAGCTCCTGAACTACTATCGCAAGAGGCTCTCTTATGGTATCGGACCGGTTATTTCAACTCCTGGGACGAATTTATAGGACAGCTAAGGGAGGCATTTCAGCCTTTCGATTACAAATATAGCCTGTGAGACGAACTACGAAGGAGAACGCAGGGTTCACAGGAAAAAGTGATCAACTATGTGCCGGTTATGGAGAATATGTTCCTCCTCGAACCAGAACTAGCCTACCGACGAGCACCCAATAATCAAGTATCGGCTATCGCAAGCCAGCTTCGTGGTCAAGGTCATTTTGATAATTCCCTGAGTGCAGCGACTGCTTCCACCTCTTCTCCAGAACAGCATGTGGATCTAGTTGAAGAGGCCGGTCGGAAATGTTGCAATTGCGACAGTCCTGACCACAGGTTTCGAAAATGTCCACAACCACGCAGGAAGTTCTGCTTCAAATGTGGTAGGAAGGACGTCATAGCCACTCCTTGTCCAAGCTGCGCAAAAAACGGACAGAGAGGTCGCCCGTAGACCGACGGGTAGACCCCGCAACTGCTTCCAAGGTCGAACAAAAAAAATATGTTTATCCTCGATTATGTCCTCGCTCATGCAAAGGGAGATACGCGACCCTATCTGACGGTGGAAATCTTTGGACATCAGTTTTTGTCATTGTTGGACTCAGGGTGCACTCGCACAGTTCTAGGGAAACGGAGATGGAGTATCCTAAAATCATTCTGCCGACTACAACCGGTTTAAGAGCAACGTTGTACCGTAGCCAATGGCCACACTTGTATCATAGAAGGATTCGTTCCGGTGCCGATAGCCTTGTGTGGGAAAGTTCGAATTTTTGAGGTTTCAGTAGTTCCATCCCTTTCGCATTCCCTGATCCTTGGCATGGACTTCTGGTCTCGGATGCAAATCATACCCGATATGTTCTCAGGAGAGTGGGCGTTTAGAGACTCAGAACAAGAGATACTACCAGCAATATGCTCCATCAGTACTCTAACGGAGATGCAACGTTTTCAATTGGAAACCTTGATATCCGAGACCTTCAAAGCCACCGGAACCGAATTGGGCTGTACGTCCTTGGTGCACCACGGAATTGAAACATCCTCCCCACCCATACGACAAAGGTATTATCCGCTAACGCCAGCTCTGCTCAAACAGGTCCTTTGTGAATTAGATCAGATGTTGGCAGACGGTGTTGTGGAGCCGTCAGATTCTCCATGGGCATCCCCAATATTGTTAATCAAGAAAAGTGATGGCCGATATCGATTTGTCGTAGATTTCCGTCAACTTGATAATGTTACTGGCCGCGATGCCTACCCCCTTCCATACGTGAGTACAACCCTTGACAAATTGCGAGACGCACACTATCTCACTACCTTGGACATTAAGTCCGCATATTGGCAAATACCTCTGTCCACCGATTCTGAACCGCTCACGGCATTTGTTGTACCGAATCGGGGCCTTTTTCAATTTACTCGTATGCCCATGGGGCTACATAACGCGCCCGTGACATGGCAGCGATTTATTGACCGAGTCATCGGGGTCGATTTAGAGAAATAAGTTTTTGTTTACCTCGATGATGTCATTATTTGTACTGACACTTTCGAGGGGCATCTTGCTATTCTGAAAGAGGTCCTTTCAAGACTTACAAAAGCCGGGCTAACCTTGAATAAAGATAAGTGTCATTTTTGTAAGTCAGAACTGCGGTATCTGGGTTATATCGTCGGTGCTTCAGGACTCATGGTTGATCCGGAAAAGGTCGAAGGCATTGTCCAAATACCCCCTTCACGGAATGTTTCTGAGGTTCGACGGCTCATTGGTCTCGCATCGTGGTACAGACGGTTTTTACCGAACTCCTCTTCCCTCACCTCACCACTATGTGCGCTCTTGAAAAAACATTCCAAGTTTGAATGGAGTGAGGAGTGTGACTCCTCCTTCCGCACCCTCAAGGACCATCTTGTCTCGGCTCCAGTTCTCACCTGCCCAAATTTCGAGCTACCCTTTGTCATCCAGACCGACGCGTCGGACTACGGAGTTGGTGCTGTACTCTCCTAGGCCTCCGAGGAGGGAGAAAAGGTCATTTGCTACTTGAGCAGGTCCTCAACTAGGAATGAGCGTAAGTATAGCACCACGGAGAAGGAATGCCTCGCTGTCTCGTTCGCAGTAGAGAAGCTCCGGCCGTATATAGAGGGAACTTAGTTCACCGTGATTACAGATCACCATAGCCTTCGATGGCTGAATAATATTCGAGACCCGGTAGGAAGAATTGCCAGATGGGCGGTGAGGCTCCAGCAGTATGAATTCGATATCGTCCATCGCAAGGGTAAAGAGCACGTCGTTCCAGATGCCTTATCCAGGGCTGTTCCTCTTCTGGACGAGGTCGAAGGTCCTACTGAGGGAGTCTCGGAAGCCAGAGATAAGTGGTATTTGCGAATGTTGAAGGAAGTCGTGAAGCGACCGGACAAATACCCAAATTGGAGAGTTCAAGGACATCCGCTTTTTAAGAGATCCAGACTACTATATCCATAGCTTGCGGAGGATTCAGACGGATGGCTGATGGTGGTTCCTGGAGAGGATAGGTCCTAGCTGATACAAAGAAATCATGATCCCCCTACAGCGGGTCACTTAGGGACATTCAAGACTTGTGCGCGCCTATCTTCTCATTACTACTGGCCTAAGCTCCGCCAGGATGTTGCCCGCTACATACGACACTGCGAAACTTGTATCAAGATTAAGCCGGAGCAAAGGGCCCCAGCAGGCCTGATGCTTAGTGCCGGCCCAACCGTGTCGAGGCCCTGGGAGGTCCTTAGTATTGATTTGGTCGGTCCCCTTCCAAGGTCGACAGCTGGATTCACCCATATCTTGTCAGTCTTGGATGTATTCTCGAAGTTCGTTCTAGTTCGCCCTCTTAGTTCTGCTTCGGCGGCTAAGGTAGCCTTGATTTTCGAAGAGAACGTTCTCCTCATCTTTGGTGCGCCAAGGAGGGTCATAATGGACAACGGAGTGCAGTTTCGTAGCGGCATTTTTGCTCATCTTCTAGCCAAATATGAAATATGTCCAGGACACATATCTAATTACCACGCCCAGGCCAATCCCGTAGAACGATGTCATCGGGTGATTAAAACGACTCTAACCGCTTACGAGGCCGACAACCACCGAACTTAGGACAAGTTCCTCCAGCCGGTAGCTTGCGCGATTCGCTCTGCCCGGCATGAGACCACCAACTTGACTCCAAACTTTATAGTCTTTGGGCGGAAGCTCAAGCTCTCGAGAAAGGATGTCCACCCCCTGACAGAGGAGCTGGATGAGAACCCGATAGATCCACTGATGCGGCATGAGGCCCTTCAGAAAGTGTTTGAGGATGTGAGTGAAAGGCTGGAGAAAGCTTACAGCCGGGGTAGCCGGCAGTATAATCTACGTCGCCGGGACGAGCGTTTTCAACTTCACCAGAAGGTATGGAAGCGCAATTATGCGATCTCTGATGAAGCCCAAGGAATAACGGCCAAGTTCTTCGATTAGTTTGACGGCCCATTCGTAATTTCCCGAGTTCTCTCCCCGTGGTCGTATGAGCTGATAGGACCTACCGGTGCCAGTGCGGGCGTGTGGCACGCCAAGGATCTAAAAGCTCATCCACCCGATGACGATCCTGAATCCAGTGATTAGTACCTTCCTTACATGTGTTACAGTGGTAGCAGTAGGATTATCATCGTTCATTATTAGTATATTCAAGAAAAGTTTTTTTTCTGAACCAAAAAAAAAACGTTAAGTAGAGGGGCGTTGTTACGAGTTCATTTTAATACCTACCTGGATTTCATATTATAATAAGTGGGTCTTTATTTGCCCTATGATTTACTTTATTACCCAACATTGTAATAAATATAAATTCTTCCCGTATGTATATGTCGAGGAGGGTTTATTCAGCACTCAACCCGGAGGCATTTCTATTCTTGGGGAAGAGTGGAATTAATATTAGTCAACAACTAAAAAAGTTGTAATCTTATCACTTTTGGTAGTGTTCCTCCCTGGAATGCTTTGGGCTGAAAGTATCTAGTAGGGTCGTCCGCGAAACTCCAGGCACCTAGTCAGCTACCTCAGCCCTCCATCTTCATTGGAATAAAATTTCCAGGCATTTTCCTGTGGGACCGATTTCCTTTCACCGCAATTTCTAAGGACTGATCCATTTGTTTATTTACCTTTCGATATTTTTCTCTCGATCAGATTCTCGAACTCCGATAGACGTGAAATCTTTCACGGACCGTCAACGGTATTCTACCTTGTAACCAGATCCGTAGACTTGGCTACCATGCGCGGTACTTACACCGAACTGTACTGACCACTGAGCAAATAGCGTCGACGTCATCTCATCACCGCAACCTGCACCACTCGAGATCGGGGTAATATGATCAAGGTACTAGAGTGGAGGTACAATGGCTCAGGTACCCAATGACTTTCGAGCACGACTCAACGGAATACACCAATAGCAGATAGATGGCGCTGTGGGAGCATCCTAGTACTACTAGTACCACCAGCTAGTTAGTGACTTTTCGACGAAGTCAAACTTCCTTTTATTTCTAGGGTATCGATTCTTACACTTACCTGACCTCTTATGACATTACTGACATCTCCTGACATAACTGACATTTACTGACATAACTGACATCTCCTGACATCACTGACACCTCGAGACAAGGAGCGACATAGCCCCCTTGCCCCTCAGATTATTTTCGAGATTTTTGTTAATTCTCCCAACCTACACAAGGAATCTTACTTCACTCCCTCATACCATGTTTGCTATTGCTATTGTAGGCCTCCTTCGGGGGATTATCAACCTGCACGAATCCCCGTGCTTCCACCTGCTTATCTGCACCCTTCCTGCATGAGAAATCATAGTACTTATTGCTTGTCGACGCCCTACTCCTCACACAGCGCCGAGCCCCCTGTGACACCAATTTGCCAGGAGCTTCGACGGTTTGATTCACCAGCCTCGATACGAGAACCGCACGAACATCGAGATATACAAGTAAGACCGTTCCATCTCTTATTTGCTGCTGTCTATGCTTCACCGTCTGATGCTTGCCTATTGCTGAATAGATAGAACCTACGCTTGCTTCCTGCCTGGAATTGAAACTAGCCCTATACAGTATATAGCTACATATATCTGAAGAAATATCTACTGCCTGAGTGATCCGCTCTTATAACTGTTAAATTCGCACGAGTCACCCCCTACATATAACCCTTGGTATTCGAGTATGAACCGACAGTATTTATATATATATATATACATACGCCCGGGGCCTAACTACTGTCATTGTACCAGTAGGAAATAATATTATTATTTATCGTAGCTCCCCCCTCCATGTCACTCTCCTTGAACATTTGATCTTATAATACTATAATTATTATGTATGCATTCATAGTTATCTTTGGAAATTTTACTCACTATCCCTCTCCGCTGAGCTATCAAAAATCAGTATTTACGAAGGAGAAGTAAGAAAAGGTGGTTACAAATTCTGTAACGAATCCAGGAATAATGCCATTGAAATTAGGAATAGCAAAAATACAACAATATGCACACACATTCATCCACTACTACGACATGAACCCCATCATAGCTGAAATGAACAAGTTACATTCACAGACTTTGAAATTACTGACAGCAATCAACTTGAGCAGACAACACTACAACACAGCTAACTACGTAAAAATTCTACTCTTGACACAAAAAAAACAGAATGGAAATTAAAAGAAATCATTCCACATCCAAAACGTATGAGAAGAGGACTTATAAATGGTGTTGGATCGATATTCAAATCGATCACAGGAAATTTGGACGCCGAAGACGGTGAACGATATAATAGACTGATTAATCAGCTTCAAAATAATCAAATCAAACTAGAATCAAGCATTGAAAAGCGAAAGTCTCTTTCCATTAATATCATAGAAAAATTCAACGCGACAATTAGGAAAATTACTATTAACGAAAAATCACTCCAAGGTAGAATTTCTCAGCTCATAACAATCATAGAAAAAACATCATTAGTTGAACAGTCTATTTTTATCAAAGATTCATTGAATCAGCTGATAAACATGTACGAAGTAATAACCTCTATGTTGCAGGATATCGAAAACTCGCTTTCCTTTGCAAAATTAAATGTACTCCACCCAAGCATAATAAAAACATCTGAACTTTTTAATCAACTCAAAAATTTACGACAAATAATCAAACCAGATCAATTTCCATTTGGATTGACATTAGGAAACACCTTGAGCTTCGAAAATATTATCCAAATTGAATGTTACATTCTTGACAACAGAATCACCTACCTACTAGAAATCCCAATTATGTATCCATACATTTTCGAATATCAACACCTGTACCCAATTCCTGTTCCTAGTCAAAATCAGTTTAGGACAATATTGCCAAGAAGGAAGTACTTGTTGAGAATACTTTGTACTTCGCACTTGAGAGCGAAAACTGTGTCAGAGTCAAACCATGAATGTACGTTTGCAAAAAGACAGACCTTTTCGAAGTTACCAACGATAGCCCCTGTGAAGTACAACTGCTGTCCATGAAAAATACGACCACTTGCATACAAATCAACACCGAAATCACGAAGCCAAAGGTCAATCAACTAGAGGACTCAACCATGTGGATCGGCATATTTCCTACAAAAATGAATATTAATATGAAGTGTCAAGAACAAGATGAAATATTCAAAGTTTCTGGCACATATCTGATCACTATTCCAATCGGTTGTCAGATAACAACCAATCACTTGAAAATTTCCAACAGAGAACAAGTTATCGACAAGAACCAACCAATACTGATACCAAACTTGGACCATGAAGAACACCCCATACCATTCCACACGAACTTCAGCCTGCACATAGATGACCTCAACTTGGATGAACTACAAAACGTCAAGAAACAGCTATTCAGAAACAAACCAGAACTGAATTCCGACGAAAATGGAATATCCTATTCTCAAAGCGTTTGGACTTTGACAATCTATATTTTTGTCATTCTTGTTGTAGTCTACATAATATACAGGAGGTTCAATTGCTACCGAACCACTTCCATTGGACCACCTACAGAAGCTATCCAGATGGAAACCGTTCAACTACCTCCTTCCACTGTGTAGTTGAATCTTCAGGGGGAGGAATTATGTCACCACCTATCCCAGGGATTCCGCTGACGCAGCTTGTATCCCCATCGCCTAAGAAGAAGATGCTGAGCTAGACAATAGTCTACCTTATTCCTAGACGCACTTCAGCCGGCAGTCAGAACTTAGTTTTTATACCGTTAACATCGTCTTACATGTATCATTGTTCATTTTGAATAAAAGAATTTTTTTAAAAAGCAAGTGCTTTGGTCTCAAAAGTTATTTCATGAATACTTTTGGAACATGGTATTTCGACTTCGACTATGTTTACTTTGTAAATTTGCATTCTAACATCTTGAATGCCCATTCGAGAAGTATATGTGACAGCTCGTTATATGCGAGTGGAGTACTATACTTTTCCATATCCACCAAAAACTTCGATTCCAACAATCAAGAGTCGGTAAACTGGCGTGTTCGCCAAAACTTCGGAGTTTTCAATCTTGCTAATAAGTCGGTTACACATCTTATAGATAGACATTGTCTAGTGTTCCCTGAATCAAAATAACGCTTACAACAGGGAGATCAAGAAACTTCGACTACATTACACTGTAACTTCGAATTCTAGCATCTGGCTTGACTACAGTTATAGCAGATAAGATCGCACTGACCATATAAGACGACTTTGAAGGACTTATAACGAGAACAATAGGTAAGTTAAGATACTTCGACAACATCAGTCTGCACCCTGTTTCTCTGTATTCTATCATCCCACATGGATACCTTTGGAGCATATCAGTTCGCAAAGATCATATGAGACGACATCAAAACGAATATAACGAATACAACAGGGAATACAAGAAACTTTGACTTCGACTATAGTAGTGTACCTACGTTACCATCAGGCCAAGATGGCCGCCGCCGGAAGTGACGTCATAACCGTTCCTGTGGTGGAAGGTGTTGGCTGCACGGAAGTGACGTCACAAGATGGCCACCGGAAGTGACAGATGACAAGTGACAGGTGACAAGTGACAGATGACAAGTGGCAGGTGACAGATGACAAGCGATAGGTGACAGACGACAAGTGACAGATGACAGACAAGTGATAGATGACAGACAAGTGACATATGACAAGTGACAGATGACATGGAACACAAGGAATGACATTAGAAGTACTCTGAACTCAGCCCCCTTGACTCTGACTCTAGTGCTTATGGGCGTGGACATTCTTCTTCTCATTTTTGAAAGGTGGTGGATGACGTCACAATCTATTGACTGTGCCCACCAGATTTAGGTTGGTATTACTACAATTGGTAGCACTTTGTTTCAAGGTCACCCGATATGCATGTTGCAGGTGGCCGATGAGTCATCCTTATCTCGACTTCGTAGAACAATGCCACCTTTGTTTGCCATATGTTATCTAGCCTTCCTCTAGAACAATGCCGCCTTTGTTCTCTCTATGCCACAGCGTTTCTTGGAATTCCGGCTATTGGGAAATTGCGACGCAATATTATACGAGAACAATGCCGCCTTTGTTTGCAGGTGTCCGATTACGTAACAACCTCATCCGATTGCATCATCCTTATCTGTGTGAGAACAATGGGTCTATTGTCCTGACGCAGGTGGCCGATGAGTCATCCAATAATGCTAGCTGGGAGACATCCTGAAAGAGTACCTCTATCTACTTTCTGTCACCACTGACTGTCAGCGTTTCTTGGAATTTCGTCGAGTCAGCTATTGGGAAATTTGCCTCATGAACTATACCTCCGTTGTTTGCAGGTGGTTGATGACGTCACAACCTCTATATAAGGCGGTCAGAACGTTCGTAGGCGTCATTCCATTCTGAACTTTGACACTGGTCGGTCGATCTGTTCCTTTCTGTTCGGTTGCTCCTGTCCGTTCGGTTGCTCCAGTCTGTTATATTGTGAGTGGGTTGTGCCAGCTGAAAGGTGAGTTCTTTATTTATTACGTTTCAAGGCCATGTGGTCGACCCTATTTGTGACTAGTGACCATTCCACCCAATACTAGCAGTAGTAAGTTTCTCATCAGATGGATGTTTCAGCTATTAACGCTCAAGCTGCTGCCTTCAAACCAACTGTAGCACTAAGTAGCTTGCCCATCAACCAGCCCCACCCCATTGAAAATATCAGGGTGGTCCAGACACGGTTTGGGGAGGCTATTGTGGTCGAACTAGAGGCATCTAGCGTTTTTCTGCCAAGGAGGGTAGTTGGCATCTTCAAGCCTCAGCTTCCGGCGTTCACCCCAGGCAAATACAGCCTGATTCACAAGAGGAGTGACACCGGACCCTCTTTGAGATTACCAAAAATTAGTGGTGAGTAAAATATTATTTTCCGTTTGATATTTCTCGCAACATGAATGTCAATAGTATTGCTTCTACTAGTGATGCCGTTGTTGAGGAATGTAGAAGGAAAGTGGAAATTTTGAGAAAGAAGACGAACATATCTGCAGAAGAAAGACTGTTATGGAATAGGCAAATAGGGACGCATATAAGAGAATTAAATAGGGCAATCAGGGTGACCAATTCGACAGCAGGGGTTTTGAGAAAATTAGAAACAAATGTGGGGCATTTGAAACGTTTTCAAAGTTTGATTAGGAAGAAGAATCATATTGGGGCGGGACTTGGCAATCGTAAAAATAGAGTTACATGGAGACTTGTTCAATCTGTTTTTGAGAGTAGAGTAAGGACGGGTATCATAATCAATTTAAGTCATAAGGAGTTGATGCAATTTTTGCAGGACGCATCGCATATTTTCAAAATTCAAATCAGAAAAATATTGAGGGAATTAACCATGCTCAAAGTCAACACCACCTTCTGTGGTGAGTTTATCAAGAAATCGGATGACGCGGAGATTATTGAATTCAAATATTTCAATACAAAGAATGCTACAATGGATGAGGG